CACACACACACACAGGGGTGTTGCTAACTCTGAGCGATGTGGTGAGTCGATATCCATCGGTCAAATGAATCCTGGGCAGACTGTCGGTGTTCAACCTCCTGACGAGTCGGTGAAAGTCCAATGAAACAGTTTGGCAGTGTCATGCGTTTTTTTAGTGTATAGCGAATATGACAACACACACATGCGCACGCACACACAGACACGCTCAGATACATAGAAGCACACGAAAGAAAAAAAAAAAATCACATGACGACAAGGAGAGAGAGATGAGAAGCTGCGAAACGCAATCTTAGCATTCTTGTTGCTAGTGTGCTTGGATATTTCTGATGTGGCCTGGAATCCTTATGAGCAGACTCACAAAGGATGCATACTGTGTGTGACTCGCATTGGACGTCCTTTACAAGTGCGTATTTTTCTAGTTGTCGAGGATGGTCATGGCGTTGCACGATGTTTTAGGCCATGGCTTCTGCAACCTGAGTTGAAGCCTGAGCACTTAAATGAGCCCACTGATTTATGGAAAGATGAGAGCAAATGCCCTCAGAGGGTGCCTCGCCCGATTCGAAGTCATCAATTCATTGGTACAGTCTTTCTAATCCACTGCCTTCTGCAGGACTAACGCTAAGCACTCCGTCGGCAACACCCAGACTGACTGCAGAAACTACCTGGTATTACAAGGCTGGCTTTTTGTGCACACTTGCAGAAATTTTGTGCTTGAACACGTCCATCCACCCGGCCACGCAGGACCTCTCAGCGGGGTACCGGGCAGCCCCAGCGGAAATATATGTGTGGCCCCAAGCCCCCAGATAGCCCCGGTGCGAAGTAAAAAAAATGAGAAAAAACAAATCTGGAGGAGAACTTTGTATAGAATTGAAATGTGGCGAACTTTTGGTTAAGGGGCACCTGAAAATTCCTTGCCGAATCAAAGAGGAGGGCTGCTTTCGTTGACCATAGAAAAGTTGTACCGTCGGGGGAAAAAAATAAGATGTTTTTTGAGTTTTTCGATGTTTGGGATACCCTGTGCAGGCACACGGTCGGGGGCCTGAGGAGCCTAGTTGCTATTCTTAGTTTTCTGCTAGCATGGGACCAAACTTTCCTTAACGATGGCATTGTCGGGGCAAGTTTGTGGCCATTGATCCACTATTCACGGTAATGGTTAACGATTACCTGAAATTTCAGAATAAAAAAAAATAAAGTGCTTTGAACCGTTAAAATGACATGAAGACACTTCAAGCCATTTTAAGAGTTTGTGGTGGTTTGGAGCGGGGGCATTATAAATTGCTTTCAAATTTTTAGTCACTTCAGGTCTTTTCAAGAGTTTCAGGCGGGGATCCGAAATTGTTGTAATGACCTGAAGTGGTTGAAGTTTCTGAAAGGGGTTTCAGGTACCCTCATCCAACCATTTGGATGGTAGGACTTGAAACCACTTTCAAATTTTTGCCTACTTCATGTCATTTCATGAATTCAGGTGAAGACCTAATACCCCTGTAATGACTTGAAGCGGCTGAAGTTTTTGAAAGGCGTTTCATGTACCCTCATCCAACTATTTGGATGGGGGGACTTGAAATCGATTTCAGATTTTTAGCCATTAACTAACTTGAAGTGGTTGAAGCTTCTGAAATGGGTTTTAGATCCTCCCATTCAAGTACCTAACACTTGTTTGAAGCGGCTGAAAGCGATCTGTAAATACCATATGTTTTTAACTATCTCTTATTACTCATAAAATTTGAAGATTACAAGTGTATCTTTTAGGTTTAAACCACCACTACCTACGACCCTGTTTTTGTCGAGCCTGACTTTCAAAGCACACCGAGTTTTGTCGAGTCAGGGCAGTTTTAGCAAAAAAAGAACGAGGGAAAAAAAAAAAAAAAAAAAAAAAAAAAAAAAGACATTTCGAACGTCTCGATAACGACCAGATACATTTTATGAGGTGCTCGTGCGACTGTGCCCTCGGTGAGGGCGTGTAGGGGACACAGCTCCTTTATGTTGCAATTGAGGGCTGATACAAATGCTACAACATTGAGACAATTATGTGTTACCCGTGAAATACGCCATGTCTGACTGGCAGGACACTAAAGCGACATGGGAACAGAATCAAAACAAAACAAAAAAGCAAGCCCCTTCCCCACATAGTGGTCAAATACATTCAGCAAAGACCTCTGCAACCTCTACCTTCGTGAGGGCCGTACCCGACGTCCCTGGATTTGAAATTTTCGGGGGGGGGGGGTTTCCATTTTTTTCTTCTTTTTTATTTCGTTGACCTTCAACCCTGCCCCGAGCTTCGTGTTTTAAGGAGTAGGCTGCTGGATGGACTTCGTGTTTGCCTGTGAAAGGTAGTGGTGGTTTAATGGGAGTATATACTGACGGTTTTTCATATTTGGCAAGTGGTTGAAGGGGATCCTATGCTAAAAGACATGGCTTGCCAGTAGGCCCTGACTGACACACGTTTTCCTTTGTTTACCAGCGGTTGGCGCTGCGACCTTTCACGAGTTGGAGCCACTTGGCAGGCTGTGGATTAAATTCATGAACGGCAACATTAACCCAAAAAGGTTGTGGCGTGTTCAATGGAAGTTTATAACAAGTCGGGGAAAACTTTGCAGGAGAAAATGAAGGATAGAAGGTGTTGGTCCGTTTTTTTTATTTCTTTTTCTTTTGTAGGAGTTTGGGATTGGAGTTGTAAACCACCACTACCTTCGAGCCTCTTTTTGTCCTGGCCGCGACAAACTTTGCAGAAAAACCAGCGCGACTGTTTTTTTTTTGTCACTAACTCTTCCAGTTATTTTTGGCTAGTGTCGCCCGCCATCCAAAGAATGTGATATAGGTTATACTGTATTCTTAAGGGCTTGTTAGACACTCCTTGGGGCATCCTCGGGGCCGAAGGAAGTTTCCTTTGGGGTTCTTAAGGAAATTTTCGTCGTCGTTCCCCCTATCTTCTGGGGTCTCCCAAGGATGATTCCTTTTGACCTTGATGGCTATTTTCATAATATAATAGTCGGCTGCAAGGGGGGTCAATGCCTTGGTCCATTGGGTGAGGTTCCCCTCGTTACAGTGTGGTCCAACTGCCGAAGGCGGAAAATTTGATAGGCGTTGGCGACGGGAAAAATATACCCAAAAAAAAAAATGGACCCCGCCGTTTGAAAATCACATTACAAATTGGGTGTTGGACGTCACAAGGTGATGAGGGGCAGGTGGCATCCATATTGGTGATCATGGAAACGGGCATTCGCAGCAGCGCAGTGGAATCGTCATAAATCTAAACAAATTTATGAGTGCCCCGTCAAGGTCCATTGCCATTACCTTCTCCTACCGCCTCGCGTATGTATGGAGTCGAGCACACGCAGGGAGCAGTCTCGACGACTTGGCGCGGACATCGTGGACCCTACCGAATACCTCCAGTTGGTTGGATTAATCGGAGCAATCTGACCCACCAAAGAAGAACTCGATTGATCCCTGTTGGACACCTATTGACTATATCCAAAGCTGCAAATGACAGACTTCTACAGCAATGCCAGAAGAATCAGAAGCGCTTTACCTATCTGCGCGTTCAGCGTATGCTGAAGAAAAAGCAGGAAGATGAGAGCGAGGTTAATCCTCCTCCAGCAATCGAGTTGAATGCACCAGAAACGGCAAGAATCGCCGCCATCTCCTACACAGAGAAAGATCACTTTGTGCGTGTACGATCGGTCCTATGGAAAAGTGCGGAATGTGACTGTGAAGTATGGGGCAAGCCATTCGATGTGCTGATTGACAATGGATCATCAGCAGTAGCTATCTCTCTGAACACCTTCCGAAAGACCGGACGATTGAATTTTATCCTTCCTCTACCAGAGAAGGATAACTATGTCTCGGCCGATGAAGAAGCCATGAACATCGTAGGAATCATCGAGAATGTTGCGATCAAGGTGAGCCGAGTGCATGTGTTGGTTAACGCGTTGGTCATTGACGTGCATTCTTATTCGATACAGTTAGGACTGCCCTGGCGATGGCGGTGGGTGCACGAATCCATTTTGATTCTAAACAACTCGTTTTTACCCACACGGGAGGAAAACCTCAAACGCTTCCTCTCCGAATCTCCACTCGATCACCACGGAAATATCCCAGTATCGACCGGATAGAATGATTCAGAATCTAGAGAAGTCTCTCCCAAACCCTGATGATGAAACCCCCCCTGCGTGG